TGAGCCCAACTACTCTCTCTGTTTCTTGACTTGCTACATAATAATTCTTTCATACAACCACAAGAGGCATTCACCAAACCTGCACTGTGCCACTTGGACTTTTTTCAGTCTCCAAAACTGTGACATAGACAAATCTTTATTTCATAGTAATCTATTTCATTATTTGTTGTGTTAACAAAAAGTTGATTAATCCTCCTACTCCTTATCTAAGAGAGAGAATTCTATAAAAATCACTAAGCACTAGCTAACAAACAAACAGAAAAGGTTCTTTTCTAATTACTTACCTTTGCAGGAAATTTTATATCTATATTAACATCGCTGCTTTTCAGAGCAAACTTAGTCAGAGATGAGCCATATAACCTAAGTGAACATTCTGGAATAAAGGAAAAACACATAAGCACTAAAACATGCAAATCTAGATACTTTAAAAAACAGCAGCAACAAAATGACTTATACTTCAATCTCTGAGATCCATTTCCATTTTTACAATAATTATAGAACAGTGATATTCTCTCAGATTAACCTACAACAGAGAAACACTTCTTAGTTACACAATACAGAAATAAAGAAGAGAAAATAAAAAACTATACATAAAACCCAGCACTGTGGCACAGTGTGCTAGCTCTCTGCCCTGTGGTGCCAGCATTCCATATTGGCAACAGTTAATGTCCCCGCTGCTCCACTTCTGATACAGTTCCGTCTATGGCCTGGGAAAGCAGTGGCGGATGGCTCAAAGCCTTGGGAGTCTATGCCCTCAGAAGAGATCAGGAAGCAGCTCCTATCTCCCGGCTCTGGAATAGCTCAGCTCCAGTTGTCGCAGCCATTTAGGGAGTGAATCAGCAGACTGAAGACCTTTTCTATCCTCTTTCTGTAAAATCCGCCTTTCAAATAAAAATAAATCCTAGAAAAAGTTCAGTGTTTAAACAAAATTTAAGTTACTTTACTTAGATGTGGGAGAGAATGTGCTTAGCATTCAATATATAATAGTAACAACTACATTAATCCAGCTAAGCATTTACTGATTTTTACACACTTACATTTATTTGTATTACATAATACATATTTACAAGTACATATCAAATAGTACTTTGGGGAAAAGTTCACATTCACCACCAATGGCTTTTAAAAATACAGTGAAACCCTGTGAGTCTGGGGGCAACAGAAACAACCTCACATCAGATCTGCCCAGGGTCCTCTTGACACCACATGCCTGGAGGTGGTGGGGGCAACCTCGGATCAGGCCCACCCGGGGTCCTCTTGACCCCATGTGCCCAGCAGCAATGGGGGAAATCTCAGATCGAGTCCACCCGGGGTCCTTTTAACTCTATGTGCCCAGAGGCAGTGGGAACAACCTCAGATTGGGCTGAGCAAATAACCAACACGTGACAGAATCAGGTCTGGGGGCAAAATATGTTGGGGGGGCAGTATCCTCTGCCAGTATGCATCAAGATCTGTAGCTGGAAACAGGCCAGGTTGGGAAGCTAAGGGGATACCCCAGCTGGGTTAGGGCTCCTACTGGTGAGCTTGAGAAATGGAATAGGGGCAGTGGAATGGGCTGCACATAGATGCAGTGTCCCTCAGCATAAATGTGAACTGGGTCTGGGGAGCACTTGACTGGGCTAGACTCCAGCACCCACTGGTACTTGTGAGAGCCAGGGTGGCTGTAGAAAGGGCTGGGCTAGGTGTCGGCTGCTGCTGAGCCACATGAGAGCTGTGTCTGCACATGGACCAGGTGTGACTGGGCTATAAAGACCAACAGCAAGATCCAGAAAGGATGTGGGCTGGTTGGGCAAGGATACTGTTCTTGCCAAGACAAGATGTGAACAAAGTCAACCTGGCCAAAGACCCACTGGTGTGTGCCAGACTCAATGGGAGGAGATCTGATAGAGGATCCTAGGGAACTCCTTTGTCAGGACGCAGTCCCTGCAAGTGAGCACAAGAACCAAGACTGGGAGCAGCCCAGATTAGGCCAGGATATAATTTCTGTCAGCGTTCATGTGGGTCAGGTCTGGGGTGGGCCAGGCTGGGTCAGTTCATAACATGCATCAGCAGATATGAGAACCAGGACAGGGTGCAGGACAGGTCAAGCTGGGCCACAACACCAGCCACTCCACTTTAGGGCAAGGAGTGGGGACTGGCTGGCTGGACTAGACCAGCACCTATCAGCAGGAGCTGCAACTGGCGGCAGACTGGACAGAGCCGGGCTGATGGATGCCGAGGTGAGGCAAGCTATGCCAGTCTGAGTGCAGTGGCTGCTGGGACAATTAATCCTAGGGCCAGGATGTCCAGCAGGGCCAGGAATCCTTGGCCCATCCACACAGTGGGTGCCAGGTCCGTAAACCCTGGGGAGGGGTGCCAGCAGGGCCCAGGTTGCCTGGATTGGGTCCTTGAGCCTACCTGTGAAAGATACACATGGAGGATATGCAATGCATTGGAGCCTACAGAGGATACATGGTACCATAGCAGAGGAAGGAGAACAGAGCAAATCAGACAACTACCCCAGCCAAATGAGGACAGCAAAAATCTAGGTGAACGGAAACTCTAAGGTGGACTGTGTCAGCCAATGGACACTGGAAGGGTTCCATCATCCTTGGATTGACAAGATGGACAGCATTTCAGAACTATTCAAACCACATGTATAGAACCCTCAGAACATGCCCCACATTTAGACCCTAGGTTGATACTGGGAGGTCATTCCCAATCCCCAGATATGGGGCAGTTGAGAGGCTGGTTGTGGCTTTTTCCTTTATCTCCTCCCATTCCCCTAGGGACAGGAAGAAGATAGAGAAAATTTGGAAGCAATGATTACACCCACTTTTTACTAACCCTTGATGCCTCGCCAACCTGATCGACAATGTAAACATCATCAAATAAAGATACAAAATTATATTTAAAAAACCCACACAGATATATTATAGAACTACAATCTAAAAACCTGTGACTCAAAATTCCATTGAACGAAAGAAATACGAAGAAGAACAAAGTATCTACATCTTTCCCAGACTATCAAAAGTGTTAGGTTCAAAACCATAAGGAAAACTATGTAAGAATCTCAGTAGAGGACAAGTTGAAAGTAATGAATGGAACTGAGCAGGCAGGCTTCTTTTCTTATCAAGTGTAAGTTAATACTCAGCTATGTGTATCACTGTTTGAGCTATATATATATATCAAGCTCACAAAATATCAGGAAGCTATATAGATCATTATAAAATTAAAAATTCCATTCCTGGTCTTATAAAAGCAAGTTATTTTTACACATATATTAAATTAGAATTTGTGTACTTTTAGTAGAAAACCATTATAAATAATTTTTAAAACTTCCCCATTTTTACATTATAACTATGTTCTTTTATATTTCAGAATGACTTTATATGAAATATTTACTTAATCACTGTCTAAAATTCTTTGGCGAATAAAAAACAATTTTTATTTAAGTTGCATTTACTTATCTCTACATTAATGCAAAAAATGACACAAGCTAGGGACTGGTGTTGTTGATAACAGGCTGAGCCACCATACTGTCACCCCATGCTGGAATGACAAGTCTGAGTCCAGGCTCTTCTGCTTTGCCTCTACCTCCCTGCTAAAGTTTCTGAGAAGTACTTGGGCTCCTGACACCCATGTAGGAAGCTACAATGGAGTTTCTGGATTTTGTTCTGGCTCCTGTCTTAGTCATTTGGGAAGTAAGCCAATGGATGGATGATACCTCTCTTTCTCACACTCTGTCATTCAAATAAATTTAATTTCAAGCCAATGATCCTGAGAAATTAATGTAAAAATGTATTTGAAGACTAAGAAATTATTCAAAACTGCATTTACATTTTTCTTGTATTGTAAAATAATCCTATATCATAATAATTTTTCATTTTTCCCATTTATTCTAGCTCAAAAATCAGCAGGAGAGACAGTTGTGTGATTTTAAAAATAAAAAATAAGATCTGTACCTGGTAAAACCGCTGTTATAACTTTTGACATTTCCTCCACAATTTCCTTACGGACTCTGAGGTCATCATCTGTTATTCCTTGTTCTTTTGCTAATTCAATGACCGCAACACTTAAAGCAGCCAAGTGGGCTGGGGAGGGTGGTGGCAGAGATCGGAGCTCATTTTCTTCCTGTTTTTCCTATTACAATAATAACAGTTTCACAATGACAATAATGACAATAACAATAATGTTTCTGTTTTACTGTCTTTATGTTTAGGAGGAAAGGACAGAAAAAACTAACTCAACAAATATTCACCTTTATGCATTAGATATAAAATACTACAATAAAGAAAAAAAAGAGAGAAATGAAACTCTTACAAAGCAGAGGTCAAGCAATAAGTGGTGCCACTGGAGAGGTTATTTAATTATTTTAATTTGTTCTGCAGTAGTGGATAAATTCTGATATGCTACAAGATATGCTAACCAAAACACTTAGCTAGTGATGTTGCAGTAAAGACTGATGTAGAAGAAGGCCAGGAATTCTGCTAACCAGCATGTGACCTTAGGAAGTTAAATAGTTGCAGGAAAACTTTCCAGACTCTGTCATCACAATGGATACATTGTCTACTACTTACAAGTGATTTTTTTTTTAAATTTTAAACAGATAAGTAATTTTCTCAAGAAACCTCTATTCACAAGATTAAATAATATATAACGACTGTTACCGACTAATCATTTTTCTAATTACTAAAAAATACATGCCAATTACAAACACTATATAAGACAGGGAAAATCGTATCTTTTTTTTTTTAACTTAGAACTGCAAGACAGGAATGTGTTAATATTTTTCAATCAAAGGACAATTTCTTACCCTTTGAGTCATAAAATTCCTATCACATACAATAGCTGAAACTAGCTGCCACCTACACATATACAATTAAACAAAGACTCTGGTCCATCCTTAAGTTCACTTATTATTATGATATTCTGTATTAATATTAAGCTTACGTGAGACACAGAATTGTGAAACACAGTAGTAGGTCAACCTCATTCTATAAATTTGTATGGCCTCTTTTTTTAATATGGAACACTTCACAAATTTGCACGTCATCCTTAAGCATCGGCAATGTTAATCCTGTCTGCATCGTTCCAATTTTTGTGGTACACTGCTGAAGGGAGCACACTGTATGACCACTTCTAAAAAATCTAAACATTTAGATGAGTGCCTGAGGTTTCAGAACCAATCTTTTAGGATTCTTTAGAATAAGAATCAAGGTACAGCAGGATAAGTCACTGGTTGGGATGCCAGCATCCTATCAGAGTGTCAGTTCAAACATCAGTTACCTCACGCTTCAGAACCAACTTCCTGCTAATGCAACTGGGAGGGAGCAGAGGAGAGCCAAAGAACTATTGGGGACACAGGGGGAATGAGGTAGTAGATGGGAAACCTTAAAATCATCTTTCTCACATTCACTCTCATGCAGCAGTGGAAGAAAAATCTTAGTGTACCCATCTCTTTCAAATAAAGTAAATGCTCAATAAAAGCTGACTGACTTGACTGATTTTTTGAGGGTGAGCAAACGACTCAGTTTCCAAGTGCATCACTTCAGTTACTGACTGAAAAAAAACGATCTCATTTCAAGGTTTGTAAATCAAAAACATTTAGTACAGGTTTACCATTTGGAAAATACTTTTAAAATAACTTACCAAAATATTTTTCTTATGTCGTTTCTCCTTTATATGTTTATGAGCTCCCTGAATGTTTTCAATGTGAATTAAACAAAGTTTGCATAGATATCGACAATTGGTATATTCTGGTGATCGCTGAAACGAAAAGATGCAATTTTGCAGAAAAGAATAAGTTCTCACTAAGCGAAGAGCACAACTCTACAGACATAACCAACAGATATAAACACTAAACAAATAAAATTTTAGTTAAAAAATAGCACTAATATCCTAACAGTTATTTGTCTTTTTCAGTCATCATAGCAGATTACATACTAATTTCAAACGTCATGGTAACGTTAAATACATTTAAATTCATCTAATATTTTTAGAACCAATGTAAGATAAGACAGGTAATCATGATACTCATCTTTATTCCGATGTTGGCCCAAAAATTTATTTCAAACTTAATTTTCAGTCTTTTTAAAATTACTATAAAAAATAAAAACTACTCTCAAATACAGGATGTCAGAACAATGGATCACAAATATTAAATCCCCAGCTGTAGGTGACTGCCTACAATTGCCTTGTACCTAGACAAGCATTACACTGCTGGGGAAAAAAGCAACTAAAGGCTGGCTGGCATCCTGGGCCTGATTCATGCTGTGTTAACTACACCAGCTGCCAGCATAGTTCTGTGCCCTTTCACGTTAAATCTGACAAGAGAGGGGGCGTGAGTGAACAGTTACCATCCCCTTGCTGGAGTCTATGGACTAGAGTGATGGCCAATGAAAGCCTCTGATGGGGGCAGAGCTACGGCCACAGTATCACCAGGCAACAGCCACTGTGTGGCACAAGAGTACAGAGGAGGGGCGTTGGCTGTGCAGCTGGGCAGACAGGGCCTTCCCAGACCAAACAGCTGCAATGGCCAGCACATGCAAGAGCTGAGGCTAGGAGCAAGATGAGCTGGGGGCCTGGAGAGCTAGCACAATGAGTTTCCTGGGCCATCCTAAAGCACCCACTGTGGAAGAAGCTCCTCCAATGGCAGCACGTCGTTTCACCTCACAATGGCCTCAGAAACATCAGGATTTCTAACCATAGGAACCAGAACCTGTGAGTGTGGGGTTTGGCCTCAACACACAGGCTGTAAAGAAGATAACATCATCTCAGAGTAATAATGAAGATGAAGATGCAGAGGACAAAGCCATTGCCACTGACTCAAAGTTATCTGGCGCGTAAGGGGAATCCTTACAGGAGATACAGAATCCCGAATCCAAGACAGGTAAGCCTACAAACCTAATCAGCAGGAATCAAATACAGGAGATGTGATGTAAGGGTTGCAAATCTCTGGGGGTGGGGGATGAAATGGAACAGTAAGTAGCTAGTTTGGGGTCAGAAGCTGGAAACCACAATTCCCCTGCTATTTGTAAATCCACCTACCTATCCATCAATCAATGACCCCTCTTCCAGAATAAACTTCTACTCACCAGGGATCTGAAGTGGTATCATAAAACCACTCCTTCACAAGATCAATAAAGACTGGCAACATGGAGGGGAGAATCCTTTCTTTATATAAACATGAAATGAAAGACAGAAACACTCCCCTCCCTCCCACCCTCCTCCACCTGATCCTCTCCACCCCGGCACATACCACAAGTGTACCTGTGACTCCTCTCCCCTTAAATAAGGTTTAAAATATGAAAGACAATTTCCAAAAAATTGGTCCTAAACGCTCAGTATCATGAGAATAAATAATCCCGAGATAACCATTATAAAGGGAGCATTACTGACAAATTAAACTTTCAGTCATAGCATTTTACTCATACTTTGTGTATGTACTCTAGAAATAATAAAACAGGAAATTTTGAGTGCCTGTTAAATACTAGGCTCTATACTAGGTGACTCATGTACAGTTTATCGTTTTAATTTCCTTAATTATCAATACGATGAATATTATTTTCATTTTTCAGATGTGAAAACAAAAGCCCAAAGTAGAAGGCATTGTGGCATTAACAGGCAGAGCCACTAACTCCTGCATCGCATACAGGCACCAGTTGGAGTCCTAGTTGCTTGACTTCCAATCCAATGCCCTGCTAGTGGCACGGGGAAAGCAGCAAAAGCTGGTTCATGTGCTTGGACCCTGCCACAGGAGTGGGAGACCCATACAAAGCTCCTTCCTAGCTTCAGCCTGGCCCAACCCTGGCCATTTGCTGAGGCCAATCAGAAGTGAACCAGTGTAATGAAGCTCTCGATCTGTAATTCTGTCTTTCCCTTTCTTTATAACTCTGACTTTAAAAGAAGTCTTTCAAAAAAAATTAAAGTTCAAAGTCAGCACTTAGCATAGCAGCAAGCTACCACTTGGGACACTCATTTCTCTTGGCAGACGGCCTGGGCTCAAACTCTAGGCCACTCAAGAGCCTAGTTTCCTGCTAATGCGCACCCTAAGAGAGAGCAGGTGATGGTGAAGTACCTGAGTCGCTGCCACCCAAGGGAAGACCCTGAATTGGTTCCCAATTTTCAGCTCCTACCTTCAGCCTAGCCCAGCTAGCCCCAGACATTATGGGCATTTGGGAAATGAATTAGCAGATTATAGTTCTCTATTTTTTTCCTATCAAATTAGTTTAACTAATTAAAAATTAAAAACAAAAGCTGAAAGAGCTTAAAATGTTCATAGTGAGATGGCTGTATTAAGTGAGAGATACTGACTTTAAACTAATGTAGATCTGCATGGGAAGCTAATACTTTTCCCATAAGACTGTAATGACTAAAAATTTAGCAAACTAACTATAAAATACATGTTAGGATTTTAACTTTATTTTATTTGAAAGGTAGAGAGACAAAAAGAAATCTTTCATCCACTAACTGGCTCACTCACTAAATTCCCACAAAAACCAGGGCTAGGCCAAAGCCAGGAAGTTAGACCTCAATCCAGGCCTACTGCACAAGTGTAGGGAACCCACCTACCTATCTAAAACCATTCACTATTGCTCCCAAGGTATACATTATCAGGAAGCAGAACCTCAACCCAAGCACTGTGATGGGGTAGAGGCATCTCAAACAGCAACTTAAACACTACACCAAATTCCCACTGCATGAATTATAAAGCATTATGTCTAATGCTATCTAATTTTAGCAGGTGATTGGTCCTCAATATTCAACAGGTGATGGGTCTCGGCAAAAAGTGTCTTTCAACGCACAATAGCATATAATTATTTTTCCATATGGGATGTCCCAAATTTAGCAAGTTATGCCATAGACTTAAAATTAAAAATATAGCCAATATTTAGATTGTACCTAATTACCTTCTAAAAATCCTACTAGGATTCTTCATTTTACTGGAAAAGAAATTAAGCCTCAGGTATTAAGTAATTTACCGAGGGGATGGCACTCTGGCACAGCATGTTAAGCTGTGACCTGCAACGCTGCCATCCACTGTGCCTTGGAATGAAATAGAGGATTACTTGGGCAGCTGTGTATCACCCACAGGCCCCAGATTTAGCCTGTCTGAGGCCGTTGAATCAGCAAAGAAAAGAAAACCATGCATTTCTTTCTCTCTCTCTGTTTTCAAATGTTTTTAATGTAATCTGTCAAAAGCAATAAGGAAATAAGGAAAGTCAATTCAATCCCCCAATTGCTCCATTTCTTCATTATAAAAACTATTAGAATTGGTGTTACTACAGAATAAATTGACCCGGTGAAGAGAATTCAATCTCTAGGTTTCCAATCACAATTATTTCTTTATTCATCAAATATTTTCTGAGCTCATAATGTATGTTAAACATTTTTCCAAGAGACAGGCCTAACAGCAGTAAACAAAACAGACAAGGATTCTTATCTGCATGAATTCACATTCTAGTATTTGAAAGCCCAAATGTGCAAATAAATTATAGAAATACGAGATGAGGGAATTGTTACTGTTTTAAACTCATCACTTAATATTTTATTAACAAGGTGACTGAAAAGAAGTGAATTACTCGGCTATTTGGATATTTGCGGACATTCTAAGCAGAGAAAAAAAAGTAAATGCCATGGCAGGAATATAAATAAAATGTTTAAGAAACTAAACAAATGTTGGTATGACTAGAAAAGCCACATAATGAGGACCAGGATCATAAAGTTCCAGATAAGACCTCTGGCTTTTACCCAAAAACTGAGGAAAAGTCACTGAAGACTTTTGAGAAAGGAACTACAACATCTAATCTACATTTCTAAAAGGATCACTTGCCTTTTAAATTAGGAAAAGAGGCAAGTAAAGCTTACTGTAGTCATTGGCATACCGTAGTAATCTAGAAAACAAACAAGTTTACTTGGCTCAAGATGAGGGTGGCAGAGGTGGGGAAAGTGAATGGATTTAGTAACTAAAAATACAAATACCTAAAACTACATTAAGATGAGTAATGGAGTCATAAAATTAACCATTTAATTTTTTGAATTATATAATGTGGGCCCAGTGCGGTAACCTAGTAGTTAAAGTCCTCGCCTTGCCTGTGCCAGGATCCCTTATGGGCACCAATTC